CTCTCTCTTTGTCCTGCCTGCCTGGCACCGTATCTCCCCTCTTCTCTTTACTTGTATGGATGAGCGTTTTTCTTTATTGGTCTTTAGTCAGAAACATGGTGTATCACACAATTCTCATTCTTGAAACAGATTCCACCCATAACAGAAGACAACATTCAGCTCTGTATCAAAAGGCACTTGCACATTATTAAAAACAAAAGAACTGCAGAGATTTGCATGGGAGCAGATTAATTTCTTGAGGACAGCAAGTCCTCCGAATGTTTAAAGGGAGTTCTCTTATAACATGAGTCAAAGATGAGAGTCTGTGTTTTGTCTGGCTGCACTGAACACTGAATGTGTTTTGGTAACTTGCAGTCCTATATTGCTGTTCTTCTGTTTTCAGGTGCAGAGCAACAGAGTATCTCATCAATGTTCCATTTATTTAGTCAAATCCTTTTTACATAATCTCACACCAAAAGTTAGTGTGATACTTTTACTAATCAGAGAGAGGTTAAATTGGGGAAAGGTAAAAATGGAGCATACTGCAATAAACTAGATCTGATTCATTTTTCATGTAGTCCAGTATGCAGTGCCCATGAACATCCAGTACCACATGCCAGAAAAGGATATGTACTGCAGACCGAAAGATTTCATTTTAAACTGCTGGAGAGAGAGAATTTTGAAGGGTAAGATTTTAATGTTCCAAAATGCAATGTGGACATTCTTTTTATGCACAGAAATATCCACTCCATCTTAGAAGCTTATTTAGTTTGGCATGAGTGACAACCTGGTACAAAAAGTTTCTCAGAGATCACCTTTGTCTCATCAGGATGTTGAGAACATTTACAAAAAACTGTGCATCTTCATAACATTTGCAGAATTACAGACCAATAAACTATGAAGTGAGACTTCTCCAACAGCATGAAGCAAGTAGCCTTTCCCAGTGAGTTTATCATGCAGGTTTTGCCAATTATTAAAAGCAAGCCGTGACAGGTAAAAGCAGGAAGAGAATGCCTGGGAAACAGAGATTTGTATAAAGGTTAGAGGCAGCACGGGCAATATTGGTTGCAAAAGCAATCAGGCAAAGACAAACACAAAAAAGGACGATTAGGTCTAACTACACACAACATACTACATGACGTGGATGAAGACTTAAACAATATGACATTTTAACACTGCAGTAGCAATGGATACTGAATACATCATCTGCATAGCACCACAATAATACGGAATTGAATATCAACACAACAAAGGCATATTACAGCAAACAAGACCTCACAACAATCTCCCAGTCCACTTTTTGGGAAACAGATTTCTCATTCAGATTTATTTTTTTGATTTTAATACTTTTACTGCTTTCTGAACTAACTTTAATGCTTAGCACAAAATTTAGGTAAATTTAAACTGCTTGAAGTCTGTACTGCGATTGGTCTTTAATGACTACATACATCCAGCCTGTATAAAGAAGGACAATCAGCATGTCTGTTTTGGTATATAACACTGGCCATTTAGCTGTGTAAATATGGTGACATCTCAAGTAATGATAGTCTTGGTCCCTGCTGAGTTCCTGTTTTTTCTTGTTTCCTACTTTGGTCTTGGAAAATAAAAAGAGTCTACACCTCAGGCTTCTACTATCAAATGCAAGTTTTCATTTTGAAGGGTTATAAAACAGCAACAGGCAGGGGTGACGACAGGAAAGACAGGATTAACAGAAGGAAGGAAAAGATGTTGCTGAAAGGAAGGACAAGAAAAGAGAAAGGAAGCTGCCCATTTTACACACATGACAGCAGCTAGTCAGCCAGCAAATAACAGCTGCCACTCAGCAATACTTCTGTCTCCTTGAAGGAGATATATGCTAGCAGCTGCCACGAGGAAAAAGTAGTTTAGTTCCTTTACAACCTATATTTACTGGTTCCTTTCTCCCATTTCCATTAAATATATGACTTAAACTAGTTATCACCAGCATTCACTGGATATAAAGCTTTTCAATGCTCTCAACTTTAACAGCGATTTCTGCATATCCTGGTCGTCTTTTTCCACCAGCAAAACGTGCTGAAGAGCTATAACAACACATTTAAATATAATGTATCTGAGACAAGTTTGCCCTCACAACTGTACCTATCTACAGATGAATGCCTGAAGATCAGAGTCCCAATATTTTCAAGAAAAGACATCTGTCTGTACAGTAATTCTCTCCTGCTTGTAATGAGATCTGCTGCACTAGAAGGCACATTTTTTTGGTATCTTGTTAAAAAAAGAAAAAAGAAACAAACCAAAAACCCCACAAACAACATAAACTTAATAGAAAAAATAGGGCTTAGAAGGAACCGCAAGAGTTCATCTAGTCCATTCCTTTCTCCATCAGGATAAATTACATCTCCACGATTCCTGGCAGATGGCTGTATTGCCACTTTTTCAAGACTTCCAGTGCTGAAATGTTGCAGTGTTATACTATCCCCAGGAATATATTAGTGTGTTTCACTTTTTTTTTTGCTAAATAGTATTTCCTAATGCTACTCTAACACTATTTTCTAATGTCCAGATTGAAAATGCAATTTAACTCTAATACCTTCTGCCTCCCATGAACATGGAAATCCTGTTTTTTTGCCTCTGACTCTTTGTACAGCCTTTGACACTATTGAGGTTACACTGCTGTCATGTCTCCCCTTAGTCTTCTCATCCCTAGACAAACCATCCCAATTCCTTCTTTTTTTCCTCGCAGGTTATGTTTTCTTGAAGCGTAGCACCCAAAAATGGTCAAAAGAGATCCCACAGGTCAGCAATGACAGGGATCCCAACTAGCATGTTTGCTTGTGGTAACATATGAAGAGAACTTTATAGGTAAGACTCTTTATAATGCTCTTATTTTGTTTATGCCACATATGATCAACAATATCAATACAAGAGTAAGAGTAAATAAGAGTACTGTCAGGCCTCAGAAAGAATAAATATCTAGGCTGAATTTAGGTCCAAATATTCATTCTGTGAACAACAATATAGACAGTTTCAGAATGGTAAAAAACATAAATCTAAAGAGTAGTCAAATGATGGATATTTTCTTGCTATTTTTAGGAATGGTACAATGGAAATGCAGGCACCAGTTTTCTTCAGTGATGTGATTACGTGTAAGATGTCAAGAGCATTTTACTTCGAAAGTATGTATTTTAATACAAGTAAAATGCAAATGCATGCAGAGGAGCACAGTATATGTAATAATATAAAAGTGGAAGACTTCTAAGCATTGCTCAGCCTGTTAGCTCTCCTTCCATCTGTAACAGCCCCAAGGCAAATATTTCAGTTTTCTGGGCCTCTTCAATATGCTGTATGCAGAGTTTAGTTGTGCCAGCAACTTACAAAACATTATGAATGATGCAGTACTTTGCAATTCTACTTGTCATGGTTACACACAGCCTTCCTAAAGATCACCCTAACTCCGCTTCTTTCAGCAGCTGACATTTTGAATTGCTTTGACAGCAGCTAAGATTAGTCCTAGCTAGGCTAAGCTAGCAGACCAAGAACTGCTACTTCAGCCCTGGCAAAGGTAGACATTCCTTAGCTTGCACCTTCAGGCTTTGCTAAGCAGCCAACTTTGCTCCCATCAGGCAATTATCATGCCACAGTCCATAATATCTTACTTTGAGTGAATGTACTAATGACACATATTGGAGTATTTAGCTAACTTATGTATCTCCTGGGAACATTTCAACAGTCTTCAGGATCTAAGCAGATGTAGTCTTAGGCAGAACTGCTTCTCATAGGGAATATTACTTAGGAAATATTTAAATATTTGCTCCCTTCTGTGTTTGCTGTGTCAAAAGACATCAAAAGGCTAATATAAGACCCTGATCACTGTATAACCCATTCACACTAACACACTACATATGATATCAAAACAGTCCAATGAATTACTCCTTATTGAAATGTAAGCATGGATAAAATGAACATTTCTCTATTCAATTTAGTGAAAGAGATGAATGATCTTCTGTCAGTTTCATCAAGAATTATTTGTTGGGGAAAAGGAATAAATTCACCTTGAAGAGTTTCCAGGCATATGAACGTTTGTGTCAACAAAGTTATTTACAAATTACCGTTCTTCAGAAAATGACAATAGGAAGCAGCCCACCCTCCAGAAATAAACTCCTATCAAGCAGAGCATTTCTGTGGGGTCTGCCACATTCTACCAACGCTAAGCTATACGTTGCAGATATTTTGCTCCTCCTTGAGTGCTGACACGCATAGTTCCATATGGATTAACAAATGGCCAGAAGAGCAGAATCGGAATAAAATTCCTAGCCAAATAATAATGTCAGGTTACTTAAATAGTAAATTAATTTCTACTATATATGTATATTGCAAAATCTTCAATAACACTGTGAAACCACCCTACCTTCTGCATTTATAAGCCAATTATTTATTACATCACTTTATATTCTATAGAGATGAGCTGCTAACCAGTCATTGTAAAAATGATAAAGAAAAATTAAAAGATGAAGTCTACTGGACTGTCATGCAAATCACTTCGTGCTGATACACAATATATTCAAAATAGTTGCCACCTGCCTCCTTCAGAAAAGGATAATACTGTTTTGTTTTGCCTTTTTAACAATTTGTCTTGTTTCAGCCACAGTTCAAATCTTCACCTGGTCATTTCACACAGGCAGTGAAACAGTGTCCAGTCTTCTAAAGACTGGACCCACATCTTTCCTAATAAACTCAGACAGACATGTAGCTCTGGAGAGAAAAAGAAAAAAAAAAAAAAAAAAAAAAATCACTGAAAATTCAGTCAGCTACATACTCCTCCTATCGACATTCCCATTTTGACTAAGCGACAGGTGCCAATGGTGGCAGGTGACAACTTGGAATTTTGTATTTAAAGCTCTGACTGTACATTGATTCTATTTAAAGCACTGAACTTATAAAGGTAATGAGCTTCAATATTGCCCGTGTTACCACAGACCCATCACCCTCCTGGAAATGAGCAGTTTGATCATTCCTGGTCAAACCCCCCATGATTAGAGCACCTCCCTGTGCTGCCAGTATTGAGAACAGGGACTGTACCGTCCGGCGTTGCCTGCTGACGGGGTTTTTTACATTTGACGTAATCGTGGTCAACTGGAGTGGCTGTGTAAGGTGGGGATGTCAGACCTGGACCGGAGGATGAGGGGAGGGAAGTCCCAGGGCCCGGCACTGTTCCAGCTGAAGAGTGAGAGTCTTCATCAATCATGCAAGCTTTTTCCCTGGGAGGGGCAAGGAAAAAAAAAAAGTGTTAACATACTAAGGACATATACAAAGAATAAAAGACGACTACATGTTCTTACAACATTTCCAATACAGTAATCAAATCTTGCTAACAAATTCTAAATGATGGATTTTTAGTACAGGTTATATTCCTCCCTTGTCGCTGGTCAATAGTAAAACATTCTTTATTTTGTAGTTGCTAATGAGACAAATTATGAGGACTAAAGTCTCATATCCTCTAAAATAAACACCATTTGCTTTTGCATTTGTTAACAGTTGATAAAAAAAATAATTTTATTAATAAATAAAAACAATGGCTTCAAGATCACAAGATCAAAATGGATCACAAGATCAAAATTGTTCTATTTTGTTCCCTTCCCATCTACACTGTGCTAATTATTGAGAAGACCTGAGTAGCATATAATCTCGGTACCCGACAACTGCAAACATTAGAATTTATTCTAATCACTTTGTTTTGTTTATATTTCATTCAGCTTCATTTTAATAGTTTATTATACAGTAGTTTATAAGTATGCTTTCAGAGCATACTCCTGGAAACTAGCACTCACTTTTCTGCAACTTTTGGGGTGTTCTTCTCCTCACCCCTGGCAAATGGTCCCTCAGAAGCTTCTTTCATGAAACTAACTAGTATCTCTGCATCTACTCCAGAGTCTGGTTTCCCCACAAGTTTCAAAATAGAAGCATGAAGGCGAAAGTATACCTAGAAAACACCAAAGTCCATTTGGTCAGTAGAGAATTCATCGCTCTGCAACGTATTATAAATAGCCTCTTCTCTGTAGAAACTGCAGGAGTTAGTAAAGACAGTAATCTGTGACCTAAACTTACCTGAATAGGACTTTTCCTGCCTTTGAAAGTTGCTTGTAAATTACAAGATCTGCACACTGTAAAAATTTTATAGCTGCAACCTATGGAATACAACAATGAAAGCAGACCTGGTCTCCTTGGAAGCAAGTCACCACTGGGTATGTTCTAGATCCACTATTTTTACCAGACAACACAGTGAAAGCAAAGGTGTTATGACTACTATTCCAACTCATGCATGAAGTTATGCTTTCATAGGTATGAGATGCTTGTGAAACCTATCCACATTTGATTTTGATAAAAACTGACTAATGAACTGTGTGCAGCAAATCCAAAAGTGGAATTTCGGCCTGTCTGTCCAATACTGAGGCTGTAGACATAAACTGTCTTTAAAACAAAACCAGCCTGAATAACAGGCTCCATTTTATTCTTCAAGTTAGTCTTATAAATGTTCCCAGATGCAGAGCACCATATACATACGCCTAATAATATGAACTAATAATAACTGGTATTCCATTATCTGTAGAGAACAAGGTTGTCAAGCCTACGTATTTAATTTTCTTTTACCTCCAATGCTTCCATGGCAAGTTCTGGTGGATTATGGTAATGAATCTTCTTTGGATATCGGGCAGCCTCCTCATGCAAGTAATGACCTGCCTGTTTGTAATGAAGCAGATAGACAACGGGAGGTTGTTTCTGCTTCTCTGCAATCTTTCCCAGCATGTAGTGAATAAGCCACTCCTCTTCATCGCCATCTCCCTCACAGCGAGATGCTGACGTAAAACACAATTTGGCTGTCTCCAACATACTGTCTCGACCCTCTTCCATCTGTGATCGAATGAAGTGTTGAGAATACATGAATTCACTGTGGCTGGGATGAAAAATTCTAAAAATACACCCCTGCATATAAAAGTGCATAAACAAGGTACATAATTTAAAACATTTTCAACCTAAAAGACACAGAACATATCCAAGTGATCAAACACATCCTGACGGCCCACAAAATGTGTTTATGGATAGGTTTTTGTTCATTCCCGTAACTGCTGACACAAATAACCAGAACAAAACAGTAAGACAGCAGTGTAAGAATATGCATATAAATACAAATCTGAAAAATAACAAGCCAATATACATGTCTACAAAAAGTAATTTTATCACTTTTTCAGAGCTGTAATTATCTTAACTCTTCAAAGAAAAAAGAATTATTTGTTTTGTTCTGCAACTAACGTCTGCTAGAGCCACTATGGACCACTATCATTTGTGAAGAAATGTCTTCTATCGTGCTTGCAACGCATCTAATTTTGAGCTGAATATGGTAAGAATACATTTCCCACCCCCCCCCAACGAAATTAAAACCAGCAGCATAAATTAAGGTTAGCTGCCAAGACAGTCACATAAAAAACTAGGTCAAAAGATGCATTAATGTATTTTTCTCTCTTTGAAAAAGAAGTTTATAAATTTAAATTGTTGGGTTATAGCAGTATCCTAAGCACTTGTTGCACTTCAAGAACTGTAATATACTCTTTCCTTTCCTAAATATTTTGTAAGGAGAAGAGAATAATAAGGTTTTTATGTATGAGAAACACATTCCTGAAGAGAGATATCCCTGGGAGGGAGTTTACATTGTTCCAATTTATATTTTATTATAATAGAGCTTTTCTTAGTAAATTATGCTATTCTAGTACATTCAGTTGACAAAAGGAAGATTCAAGTAGTCTTAAATAAACATTCTGATTTAATCCACAACTTAAGATGGCAGCTCTGTATTGTACCTTTTATCTGAGAATACAAAATAACCCCAGCATTATACCTGGAATTGTTCAGCAAGTCCCTCATAGCCAAGAGGCTGCAAGTCAGTAAGACCAAACTTTTGATAGATCAAAGGCATAAAATGTAATAACTTCATTTTCTGAGTAGTTAGTTTTGGAGCTCTTGGATGTAATAACCCTCAGAAAGAAAACTCTATTGTTAGCTGTCATTTCAAACATAATATTTAATAAACCATTTGTTCTCCTTTAATATGCATGCTTACATCGTCTTTCTTTTTAGAGGGTCAAATGCTGTGTAAGTGTCTACGGGAAGTGCAATGTTAATACAGTTATATAGGCAGCTGAGACGCAAGACCCATCTCCTTGCTGTAAATATGTTCTCCTGGAAACAAAGGATGTTCCCAATACTGTTCTCTATAGTTCAAACACTGAAAGTTTTTACAAATTACAGCAGACGCTCAGGCGCAGCACTTCTTTTTTTCATTCTGCTTCCAGCTGTGGACTACATAATATTAGTAAGTCAGAATAGTTAAATCAGAAATAGAGTTTACTGGTCCAAAAAGACAGACAAAACATTTTCCCTAGCAACTTTTATCACTATCAGAGAGTATTTGGAATTGCTCATTTTGGCTTAGCAATAAACTTCATAATAACTCTAACTTTTTCATCATTGTAATGCATAAAGAGCTAATGAATTTATAACAACTTTTTCTATGAAAATGCTATCAATCTCCTAATTTTGATATTTTTTTAAGTAAATAGCCCAGAAACATAGAAAAGGGAGAGGATGTCTTTAGATACAAGAGATGACATATGGACACAGATATCAGAGTAATTCCTGATCTTTTCACTATTTAAATATGTATACATTTCACCTTTTCCTGGAAACATTGTACGACATTTACAGAAAAGTAAGGTAAATATAATTCCCCTTTCCAGAAGGTTACAATAATTTTGTGTCACCTTTGAAAGATAATTCAAAGATCAGGCTCAAACTAATTTCACACAGGAAAAAGAAAGAAAAAAGCCCTTTAAATATTGCTTGACACCAGCAGCTTATATGAATGAATATTAGAATTTCCAATATTACTAAGTAACCATATAGCCTAATATGTGGTATACAGCATGTAAATATTTAATTTAAAAAGTTATTATGTTAGAAAAGATCATTTAAAATATTTAAAATTTCATACTGCTCTCAGTTAGATCCCACCTGCTGCACAACTTCAGGGGGGAGTTCGGATTTCCACTGTTTGAGTTGTCGGGATGCAAAAGAATGTAGGGCATAGGAAATGGTGCCGTATTCTATCCACAAGGACAGATTAGAGCCGTCAATCTCTAGGGCTCGCTTGAAGCAATTCAAGACAGGAGTGGAGTGCTTCCAGATTGGGCCATCACTTTTCAATTCATTAGAGTTCAACTTGTCCTGAATACGACTTGCTCGAGCCAGAGCCATGCCAGCCCATGAATCAAACCTAGGCAAGCAAGGACATAACACATGAACAATTTCCCCCTAAACATTACACTGAATGGCATACACAAGATTCATTTTATTATATCCGCAACTTTCTCATCCTTTCATCATATGCTCTCTGAAAACAGATTTCTGCAGCTCCTCCTCCCCTCATAGTGGAACAGAGGCTGTATAGCCTAAATCATACAGATTTTATTAAAAATGGTTTCCTACTAAAGCACTGTCCCCAGTAATTGTCACACATGAAAAACAGATGAAACAACAAGGTTTATTTGCCATGCAAAAATAGCATATCTATACTTCTAGTGGTAGCACTCCCATTGATTTCTTTTCTCAGTAACCATGCTATCCTGTCCAAACACTGCCACCCTTTATTTCTGTATGTCGTGGCTTAAAAACCACGAAGAACCAGGACACTGTAGGCCAGCAGACAGCCATTATGACATTTTGTATTGTTGGACTGAACTGTGAATGGTCTTTATTATCATCATCATTTTCCAATATAAAAAAATTACAAAAACCAAAATGCATTCATGTAGGAAAATTCTGAACAACAATAGATTGCTTACTGAGGTGACTGTTCAGGATCAAGTCCTGTGTTTATTAGATCATTGGCAATGCAATGTGAAGAGTAGTTTTCGTATTCCATAATCTCACATTAACATCTGGGGTCAATGGCTCTGGAATTTTTCAATTTTACCATGATTCTGACACCAAAGGAATAATCATAATGTTCTCACATTTTTGCTTGTAATTTCTTGCTGATTTAAACTGAAAACCCATTTCTGGGTCAAGTGACCTCAATAGTCAGATTCCTGAGGGGAATGGAAGGGGAACTGTAATACAGACATTTAAAGAAGTAACATCTCACATGATTGGGGTAAAAATACTGTGCTACCACATAAAACATCTTCTGAGCAACAAAAAGTCACCCATTAAAGTAAAAATGCATTCCACTGTCATTTATTTATGAATTTAGGTTTTAAAGTATCAACACTACAGGAAAATGGAGGGGGGTTGGTAATTTCCTTATCAGGCTTCAAACAAGAGTTTTAGCAATATGCTAATCACAGTTCCCAGACTAGAAGATTCAATAACATTAAACTACAGCTATTTCCTCTGTAGATTTCACAGGTAAAATTGCTCTGTGCCTTCACCTTCCCTTTTGTCTCCGTTATGTGACTAGATTTAGAAATAGTTTTCTTGTCTCAAGTCTATCAAACTAGGGTATTTGTTACTGACTCCGATTTACCAAATTCAAGGAGAATTGAAATGATAGCTATCATCTAATATGCAAATATAATCAGTAAATTTAAAGATAATTTAATATTTTTATTAATCTTTAATTT